TAGAATGGAATTCGTTTCAAGAGTGCTGTACGCAGTGCTACTGCTGAGAAGCCAGATGCAGTTCGCACAACTTCGCGTTGGCTCAAGACTGCTGGCTCAAGACTGAGCTGGCTCAAGCTCAAGTGAAAAAGGAACCGCTGCGCGAGCTCTGCTTTTCACAGGGAGGGTCTGTGTCGCTTAACTGGTGACCCGGATGGTTGCTTGCCCTGCTCCGCAGCGGTGTTCCGGCCGGTGTGCTCGAGCCGAATGAGGCCTAGGCGTGTGGCAGCCTCTGTCTGATCCTGCTCCGCCTGATGAAGATCTGTCGGATCTGTCTATTCACATTTCCCCGTGGCAGAGCGGTTCAGATGATGAAGAGTTGACATTGTCCTTGATGATGAAGGATGTGGAGGCAGGCTTTGCTTTTGAGTTGCCAGGTGGAGAAGCAGCCGCAAGGCAGCGTTGGGGGCAACAACACTGCAGCTGGGAAACTTGGGATATCACACCCTCCTGGCAAGAAGCCACGCCTTACCGGAGACGGCACTGTTTCCGGTGCCAACCCTGCGTGTAGGATCCTCGAGAAGGTTAGGCTCCCGACCCTGGAGAGTATTCAGCGATTCCTCAGCTCCTCTGCAGTGGGACAGCGTTGGGCTGCGTTCTCATTTGATGTCCGTGGGCACACAAGCTGGTACGGGTGCGGGAGTCCGAACAAGGCTTGTCGCTTGCACTGGGACTGCACACACTGGAGCAGGCCCAGAGAAGGCAGAGTGCAAGAACACAAAGCAAGACTTGCTTAGTCCTGGGAACCGCTTCTCAAAATCCTTCACCAGTCTTTCACGATCTCCAGCATCCAAGCGCTTACATCCAATGTCTGGCACATTTGCGTCGGTGTCTCGACTGCTGTGTTCAACACAGCTTCAAGACCATTCTCTGCTGGGGTCTGCAGCTTTTCTTGCCTGAGACGGACCGAGGTGCGCAGGGTCACTACCGCTGCCCGGTCAGCAAGTGTGTCCCTCGCTACGGCAGATGATTGAGCCGCAGCCGCTATCAGCGGCAGGTCCTCGACGCCGTTGACAAGCGGGGTTCCCAACGTCCCCATGGACAGGGGTCTCCACACTTCTGCAGCTTGAGGCTCTTGTTCTGCGCCTGCAACTCCCGGTTTGAGCTCCGGAGGTGCAACCCCCGCTTTGAGGGGTTCTGCGCATGTCGCCACAGCGGTTGCTGCGTTAGTCTGCAGTGAGAAAGCCGTGTGTGCTTTTCAGGCGGGCTTGATAACTCTCTTTCTTTAAGTCTAGTGAATTTTGTACATCCGGATTGATGGATGTCCGACATGCGAGCGCATGTCGTTTGTGTCGCATGTTTGGATGCATGTTGATATCAGCTGCGGCTTGATCACGTCGGTGAGTGCTTGATGCGTGTTCTTTTGTTTTTTTGTTTTTCAGGCGGGGAAATTCTCTCTCTTTATCATGTTTATTCCGGCATGTGTTTTTCAGGCGGGCTTAATACTCCTGTGAAGTTTCGTACATCCGGATTGATGGATGTCCGACACGCGTGTGCGTGTTGTCCGCAGTTGTGCCGTGTGCACGAAGTTCTCCCGGTTTGATGGGAGTCTATCGGCGTGTGCATGATGTCGCTTGTGTCCGTCGTGACATGTGCTCGGGCTGCAATTGTGCGAGATCGCGAGTTTTCGCTTGTGGAGTCGGTGTGGCCCGTGTTTGCCGACCGCAGTTGCGTCCAAACCTCCGTGCAGCGCCCTGGCCCTGTTCGGGGAGTCTGCTCTGCCGCCATCTTGGTCATGGACGTCTCTTGGCTGCCAGAAGAAAGTTCCGTCTCGGGCACGTATCCAGACTCCCAATCTGAGCAGCGGCTGAGATTCCGCCATGGTGACGGTGCACGCAGAAACAAACCTGAATTTTTGAAGGGCTTCAATCAATTCAACGAAGCCTTCTTCAAGGGCTCCTTCGAGCTCATTGAACTCTGGAGTCCAAAAAATTCTTGAAGGAGCTTGAAGCCCAAGACCTGACCAGCTTCTTAGCAATGCGTCCACTTATGGATGCAATGACAAAACAAGTTCTGCCTAGGAGGGTTGTTGTTTTGTTTTGCTTTGTTGGAACCGANNACCGACACCTGTCAGCAGCGAGAGCAGAAATGTTTTCCAAGTTTGTTTGCCAAGGCATGGAAGCGCATGTTTTGCATGGCATGAATTTGTTTTCATGTTTGGAAGTGCAGAGAAGAACCAGTTTAAAAGTCTGGCTGCATTCTAAGTTAGGGATGCTCCACTCTGAATTTTTAAGGGGACTTTATTAATTCAATCAATTGAAGCCGCCTTCAAGGGAGCTTGGGAAGGAGTTTCAAGCCCCCTTCGAGAATTCTTGATTTTAGAATTCTCGAATTCAATTCGAGAAGGGGCTTCAGGGGGTTTGAGAAGGGGGGGTCTTCTCAAAGGGGATTTCTAAGGGATTTCTCAGAGAGGCTTGAAGGGGGGTTTGAGAAAGCCACGCGAAATTGTTTCAGGGGTTTAAAAGCGTGAAAACAAATTAAATATGCGTAAAACGCTTTGCACAACAAAGAAAGCCACGAAATTGCTTCAAAACAAATAAAACGCCTTGCTCTCAAGCTCCCTTGAAACCCCTTTGAGAAGCTTCCAAAATGGGCTGAAAGGGGGCTTGAGAAGGGGCTTCAAGCCCCTTTGAGAATTATGAGACATCCCTGCTCCTGGTTGTGTGCGGAAAGTTGCTTGCGCTGTTTGCTTCTGTACGGATCCTGCTTTGGCTGAAATGTCAGCTCAGTTTGTTACAACCCTGCAAAAAACTCGAAAAAGGGACACCTTGCGCGCAAAATACCTTAAAGATTTGTTTCACAACAATGATCAGGACTGGGTGAATTTTTGCTTATTGTGGTCCAATAACTTCCACCCAGTCTTGAAACTTCAGTGCTGACTCTCTCGTAGACGTTGCTTCAGGTGGTGGATTCAATGTTGTAGCTCCGAGAAAATGAAGAAGGAAGCTCAGATTCAGTGCATGTTGACGCAATGATGCAATTAAATGTGTTGGAAGCTGTGAGCTTGTTTTGTACATGACACAACACAATGTTTGCAGCGATCGATTTAAACTTGTCATCTTTCGGTTTAAAATCCGTTTCTGAAAGAGGGTCATAATAGACAGCCGAGAAAACGTTTTGGTCTTGCGTGCAGTTGGTTTTCTCTGCTTGTGCGTGGAGAAGCAAGGCGCCCACAAGCAGCACTTTTTGTAGATGTTCGAAGTAGTGAGAAACTCGGACTGCACCGCAGCTCCGAGTACCTCGGAGTGCCCGGCCAGCAAGCTCGGAGCTTTTGGGCCCTCTCGGAGCTGGTGCTGAGCAGCAACTCGGCGAAGTGTTTTGGGGGCATAATTTTCTGTTGCGCAGGCATTGCCAGGATAGTGTAATAAGTTGCATCGCTCACTGATGCAATGGACTGCTTCGAACTTGACCCTGGGACATTTTTCCAACTCGGCGATGTCCAAGCGCATTCGGAAGGGAGATGCTATGGACAGGTCACTCGTCTACCAGGTTTTCGAACACCGGGCTACATCTGTCGGCCGCTGTTGGCAGACATCCCTTTCGAGGCTGACCAGATTCAAGGAGATGACTTTCTGAATAAGACGACGCGTGTTTCATTTACAATAGACCCCACAACGGGGATGGCTCAAAACATTGAACCACTATCCTGGCAAAAGGTCCTCACTGCGGCTGAGCGAGTGGACGAGCAGGCAAAGTTGTTTCAAAGGCTGATACATCACAATGACAATAACGTTTCCAGGTTTTTTGATCAAGACTCACCATCTGGCTGCAACTTTGTTGTCTTTAGCAGCAGAAAGTTCACTGCTTGCGAAGAGCCTACGGAGCAAGATGTCAAGAACCTCAAAACGTTTGGCAAGGCGTATGTTGAGTTGTGCAACTCATTGTGCGACGACGAAGGCTATGTACTTCTGTTAGACTTTGAGGGTGTAATGATGGGACATGGTGGAGATTTGGTCACAGCTCAGCTTCGGCCCTCCCCTGTCCTTTCTGCTGACTTGAGCCCCCGCCGGGTGCCGACAACAGAGATCGTGGGGTTGTTGATTGACCTTGGCTGCGACATGGGCCGTCATCTCCTCACAGATGTTTTGCTTGATGACAAGCGGACGAAAGTTGCATGGGGCATGAAGGCTGCTTTGCAGAACTTGATGGTCGAAAACTATTGGCGCACGTCCGAAAGATATGGAAAGACAACAAGGTTGGGTCCCCGGCGAGTGCTTGATGCTCAAATTGCGTACAGCCTGAAGCCGTTCTCACGTGCTGTATCCATGGCTGACATGGTTGGCATCGTAGCTCTGAACGGTACAACCGGTCTTAGATATTTTACGAACCGCTCGTGGCATGAAGAGGATTGGCGCGAATTTATTTTTCTCTCTAACTCAAGACATGAATCTGGTTGGCAGCTACCTCTAAGCTGGGAGCTACAAGCTTACGCAATGCAAAAATTGTGCCGACTTGAAGCGATCATCGGAGGTGTCGAGCCTCCAACTGGCGACTTCCGAGAATCCCTCCGGATATCAGATGATCTGGGCAAGCAGATAGCTTGGGACCATTTGGGGCTGAGGACCTTGCTGCAGGAGACAATGTCCGTCAATGTCATGGTTGATGAAGGGCCCAGGGTCCTTTCAAGGCCCAAGGACCAAGCAGGGGCCGAGGAGACAGCAGGGGCCAAGGAGAAAGCATGTGCCATAGAGTGTGTGCGGCACTTGAAGCGAATTTTGGCGAACTTCGATGGGGAAGAGTTACAGCTACAGTTAAAGCAGGCTATGCAAGAAGCTCTGAGCAAGAACGAACAAAAATCGCTGCTTGAGAACCTGACTCGGGTCTGCAAGCGAGCGGAAGATTGGCAGTTGCCGATGCTGTTCACGCAAATCACAGCTGATAGAATCGTAGCAGCTTTTGCCTCGGCAGTTGATGGCTGCAGTCCTCCATGTACTCCATGTCGTCCTCTTCCGCAACTGAGAGATTTATTCAGATATCAGATTCGCGTCGCCTGCGCCAGGTTGCGAGAACTATATTCGGTGAGCGAGCAGAACCCGAAGTGGGAGGAGATTCGAAAAGTATGTGGGATCCTCAGCTTGGAGACCTGTTGTGCTAGGGACAGATAAGTGATGACTGCATGCCTGCCAGCACAATGAATCCCTTGCTGTGTGACTGAGGTGATACTCTTGCCTCCTGGAATTCTTGCTATGATTCCTGGGTCCATAATTGCTTGCGCGACCACCAACTCCTCAATAATGTCATCAAGAACATCAAGACGGGAGCTGCCGACACCATTTCAGCTGTCGCCGATGCCCGCAGGTGCGAGGCCTGCGTTAGGCAGAGTCGCCGTCCTGCCTCAACACAACTGAAAGCGAGAGTCATCCGCAATGACGCGGCAGCAGTAGAGCCCCCCGAGGGTGCCAGTGATCTGACAGACATCAGCAGTGGCTCAATACTCGCACATTTTGCCTGGCAATTTCCAGTGGCCCCAGAGCATGCCGACGATCAATATTGGACAGGCATCAGCAGTGGATCAATACTCGCACAGAGTGCCTGGCAATCTCCAGTGGCCCCAGAGCATGCCAACGCTCATGATTGGACCGACATCAGCAGTGGATCAATACTCGCGCAGAGTGCCTTGCAAATTCCAGTGGCCCCAGAGCATGCCGACGAGGATGATGCAGACAATCTTTCCGACATTGTGCCTCAAGATGCTGAAGTTCGCGTAGGAAATGAACATGAAATTCCAACTGGCGGAACCGAGGACCATGGTGTTGGCACCGCGTGGACAGGTACTTTAGAGCGGTGGGAACACCAGCTAAGAGATCGCCGGAAAGAACTTCAAATTCAGTTCAATGCGCTTGTTGAAAGACAGCGTGTATTGAGTTTCAAGCTCTTCGCACTGGGTCAATCCTTTGAGAACCATGGGGAACTGTGGAGTCCGGGCCAGCAAGAGCAACAGATGCAGTCCTGTAGGGCATTTTCGCAAGAACAGAGCGCATTGCAAGCAAACCTCATCGCACTGGGTCAAGAGTCTGTGCATCTGGAGCGCTGCCTTGCGGCTGGCAGGCCCATGCAGGCTGTTGGACCACGTGGTCTGTAGCCGTAGCTGTGAGCTGCCGTGAGCCTGTGAGCGTGTTGTGATGTCGCTCATTCATGTTCTGTTTATGCAGACGCCGAAGGCGAGAGGCATGCCGAGTGCCACGATGTACTTTACCTCCTGCCTAACAGGTTTATTGACTGTACAGGCAGATGTGGGGCAGGGGCTTTTTGGAGACCAGGGCCCGCCCCGTGAATCTCCGCAGCAGCTATGCTTCAGCCATCTGCGAGGGAGCCAGGCATGACGAGACCCACTCCCGCAGACGTCCGCCCGCTCCGTGTGCAGCAAAAGTGCTTGCATGTGCCACAGATTCCATGTCCTGTGCTCGTGCTGCGGACGCATATCGAACCGGTTTGTCGACGGGAATGGAGGTGGCCCCAGATAGCGTAAAATGCCAACCAGCACTGTAAGTTCTGATATGTTCTGCTTGTGTGCCTGGGCCATATGTCAGCTTCAATGTCTGCGGCGTTTTGAGCGTCCTCGAAGCCCCAGGCCTGCAGAACTGTGTAGAACTCCAGTAGATCATGTCTGCGGTGCTTCTGCATAGTCTCGAGGCTGGGATGGTGAGAGGATCCAGCGGCCGGCGGATACCCCGCAGGATAGGGTGATCCGGGCAATCAATGGCTTTGGGTTTAGGGTTTTAGGCCTAGGGTCCAGGGGCTACTCGTATAGGATGACGCTGGTTGGCAGGATTGGTCCATGGAGAACTTTGTGTTAAGGGCGTTTGCCCTGTGGATGAAAGGATGCAGAACTGGGTGTATTGCGCCAGAATATCATGACAGCGGCGATTTGATTTTTTGTCTGGGAGGGCCTGCACCGGACAGTAAATCAGAATTGTATTAAACCCAACCTTAACCCCAAATAACCTATTTGTTTTAGGAGTGAGGCAATCATAAGAAGCCTACCCCCAGAAAATAGTTTAATAAGTTTCATGGTCTATACAGTCTGTATCCTCGCAACTTTATCCCGGTTGGCATTTGGTTCATATCTAAAACACTGGCCACCTCAACACACAGGGTAGAAACGCACCACCCCGAACGCTGTACCGTTTCGATCATCAAGGAGAAACCAGAATCATATAGTGAATGATATAGCGACACAACCAAGCTTAGGTCGTCAGAGAGTTTCTAGGAGCCCTTTTCTGAATCCCTCATGGTAGTTTCCTACAGCTTCTAAAAACCCTACACTACAACAGGTAGCTACCCCCACCCTAAACCCTAAACCCTAAACCCTAAACCGTGAGACCCTTACTTAAGGTAGAGACTTGGAGCCAGCACAGTTTCGCGCAACAGAATGCTAGGGCTGCCAGGGCTTCCCCTGTGTCGGGCAGCGCCTTTTTGCATAGGTTTACTCGAGCTCCATGTTCCGTTTAGGCTTGAGGGTTTAGGGTTTAGTACCTCTGGAACAGAGAAACTGGCCTTCAAAGCCGTATATTGTGTATGGGCCATATCTAAACCCTAAACTGGCCCTACACCCTAAAACCTAAACCGGTTCATCAATGAAGAGCTCCAGGGTGCAGTTGAATGGCTTGAGCTCTGAGGTTGAGGCTACCAGTCGAGGATTTGGCGGAAGCTGACCGCGTTTCGACTCTTGGGTTTGCAGGCTTTGAGTTGAAGATGCACTGAAAAGCTTGCAGAGGGCTTCGGCCCTGAACCCCAAACCCCAAACCCCCAAAGCCCTAAACCTTGAACTCGAAACTGCCATGTCGCTGCGATGTGCTCTGCTGGCCGAGATCCTGGCGGGGGCTACTTCGATGCAGGAGGTCTTGCTTCAGAAGATCTTGATGAAGCTCGGCATGCCGACCGAGGACGCCCATGTGATGGTGCGGAGCCCTTGCGACTTAGTTTGGCAGAACTTCCAGTGCGACGGGCAGGGTCAAATCACCGGCCTTGTGTTTATGGGAATGGCTTCTCAAGGCCAGGTGCCCGCCGAACTTGCTCAGCTCCAGCGCCTCAGGTATATTCATCTCCACGGCAACAACCTGTCGGGAGAGATCCCCCGCGAGCTCGGCGAGCTCCAGAACCTGCAGGAGCTTCTTAGCTGCAGTTGAATAGGTAATCTTTGACCCTTTAGTTATTTGTGTAACCCTGCCATGGTCGAAAAAGGGCGTTTTGAATGAAAACCTGACTGTTCAGTGTTTATGGAATCCTACCATACTTGAAGAGGTGAGTCTTCTTCCTTTCTAAATAATTCCTCCTGCAAGGCTCTGGCTCAGTCATAATCATTTGACCGGTGAGCTTCCGGCGGGCCTGGGCCGGCTCGGGGAGCTACTCGTGCTCGACGTTTCCAGGAATCGGTTGTCGGGCGAAATTCCCCGAGAGCTGGGTCTGATCGAAAGACTGAGAGTGCTTGATGTCTCCGGAAATCAGCTGACCGGTGCAGTCCCCCAAGAGGTATGCGGACTGCAGCAGCTTCGCATACTCTTGTTGCAGAAGAACTTTCTTCAGCAACTTCCGCCGGTCATAGACATGCCAGCATTGGAGGTGTTTGATGCCAGTAGCAACTCTTTGAAGGGGGAGCTTGGACTCGGGATGCTCCGATCCGTGGATCATCTCGAACGCCTGGACTTGAGCCACAACTTGCTGATGGGAAGCATCTCAGCTTTCATCAGTGCCTTCTGTGCCTTGCAGTCGGGGTTTGCTGGCGGAATGCTGAAGGAGTTGCGGCTGAACCACAATCGGCTGAGTGGGGAGATTCCTGCATGCTTGCTGCAGCTTAGAGACTTGGAGTTCCTAACTTTGAACGACAACAAGCTTTATGGCGCTTTGCCGGACATTACAGCATCGCAGCTGACAGTGCTGGCTCTTCACAGAAATGGCCTCACGGGTGTGCTTCCTGAAAGCTTCTGGGCTCTTGCTAAGAACTTTCTGGCTGTAATGTTTGATGGACCTTACTAGTTATTAAAGATCCCTGTTATGGTAGCTTAAACGTAAAATGGCTCAAACAGCGAACCTAGGCTTGCAACGCCTGAGCCGTTTGGGCATCCTCACCCTCCACGACAACAGCATCGGAGGAAGGATTGGCAGCCTCAACTTGAACACGGCGTGCTTGGACAACTCGAGGTTCAGGCTCCGAGGCTTTCCCTGCGGAAAGGAGCCTAGGTGGCACTTTTGGGAAGTTTGGACATGTTCCAGCGGGTTCCTCTTGGAGGTACCTATTCATAAAGAGTTCTATGGGCCCAAAAACTACAAGCCAGGAACTCTCTGAGTCGTTGGAAGCAATGATGCCTAACGATCGCAGAGCAGTGGAGATGAACTGCCCAAAGTCGCTGAAGGCTTGCAGTGCCATCGGCTCTAGCAAGCTCACCCTGCATCACAACCGCTTCGCATGCGCTGTGCCAGAGAGCATCAGCCGCAGCAAGGCGCTAAGCCTGACAGTCATGGGGAACATGCTGGGAGATGGACAAGAGTTACTGGCGTCATGGATCTCCGAAGAGGAGCTGCAGCCTTTCCTGTACTACTCTCCAAGGGTTCTTGAGTCCAGCTTGCTCGTCCTGGCTGGTTTCCTGGCATTGCTCTTTGCCGGGATCTTGTGCGGTCGGCAACTGAAGAGAAGACTTTCGACAGAGTCTCGCAGCTTCGACTTGGGTTCCAGAGCTCATGTGGCTTCCTCCAGCTTTGCAGTGATGAGAAGTTCTTGCTGTGCTTTCCTGTTGTCGAGTCCGCTTTTGCTGATCTTCTGCTTCGGCGGCCGGTACTACGACTGCAGCCCGCCACTGTGGCAAACCACCATCGCGAGCCTCAAGGCTGAGAGTGTCTTCCCTGAGCTGGGCGTGGTCGCATGCTGGTGCGCCATGCAGCTGCTCTTCCGAAGCCTCATCCTTGGCATCCGCAGCAAGGCAGGACCAGCAGAGGGTCTTGCGGAGCGGAGGATGGCCAGGGCCGCCGTGTGGCTTCTTTGGATCTGCATCGTCAGCATTCTGTCTCTCCCATCGGTCTTCTTCACCTTTGCTCAGTCGGTTCCAGCACAGAATGTGTGGGATCTCGATGACGGTACACTGAGGCTGTTCCACGCGACGGCACCGGTGCAGGCAGTTTTGATTGACATGGTGCTGGCCTGGCCAATTTCAACCACCTTCTCCAGCCTGACGGGAATCAGGGCTGACAGGCTACTGATGACTTTCCGACTTTTTTCAGCATGGCTCTTGGCGGCATTGACGACATTAGCCTTCAACGAGAACTGCTACGGAGGCTGGAAGCTGGCGTGGAAAGTTTGCCAGGAGGGATCGGAGGAACACGACAAGTTCACGTGGAAAATCTTTGAGGAGGAGATCTTGAACACGCAGAGGGACATCTGCGGTTTCGGCGGCGCTTTCTGGCTCGAGGACGGATGCAGCCGTGCCATCGTTGGTGGCTTGACGCCCTTCTTGCTCAAGAAGCTCCTGGTCTGAGATAATATAGGCGCCTACATACATAACTAAATACCCATACTATTTTGGGGGGAACCCCCCGGCAGTTCCCTATGATGCTTTAGAGTTTAGTTTAAGAGGCCCCCCCCCCCATATATCCTGAGTTCTCGAGAGGCTCCTGGTCCGAAGCACGATGCAGCCCTTGATCCTCGGGGTGCTCTGGCGCTTCTCTCGCCTGGAGCCCCTGGGGCCCGAGGGGCAGTGGGATCCGGCAAAAGGCCGTCATCGGAAGCTGCTGGGAATCTGGCCGAATACCACGGGATCCCTCTTGCCCTTGCGACAGATGGCGCTCTTGACCACGGAGATGGAAATCTTGATTTTTTGGTCTCCACTGTCACCCCTGCTTTGCATTGCAATCCTGACAGCGGCTGCGACCAATCTGCTGATGTTCAACTTGGGCATTGATTGCTTTGGAGTGTGCCTCCCATCCGATGAGATGAACGAAGGGGCTGGGCTTTCAAGCACGTATCTGAGTCTGACGCTGTGGGCTGCGTCATTCTTCCAGCTTTGGCATTCTTTCAGCGCAGGTATCTTTGTCATAGTTGGGTAACAGTTTACATTGTCATAGTTCATGGTTAATTACAAAACTCAACAAGTAGTAAGAACTTGAATTTTTAATACTATCCCAACCATGAACTAGGTATGGCTGGGCGCTTTGTCTTGCTGGCCTTCACAGTTGTCGTGATGGGCCCCTGGGCGAAGCGCTTTTTGCCCGTGCGCACCGTGAAGCAGGCTCTCTGGCTGGGTCCCCCCGAAACAGGCGAGGCCGAACAGGCGGAGATGGTCGTCGAGATGATGCCGGCAGAGAGGCACGTAGAGGCATCGCATTCAGCAGAAGACGCAGGATGCGAATCTGCCACTACGCAGGTGCTTCCAGGGAAAAATCGCTCGAGTGATCGTTGCTGCACTTATTTCATTTCTGTGCGGACTTTGTGCGGTATTCGGCATTGCTATTTGATCCCTACAGATTGTGGGTGGCGTGGTTTTCGGTGTTTGGTGCAGATGAGCGTGTTTAGGATCTTCAACATGTACCCAGTTGCGCAGCGAAAGCTAGTTGCGCAGCGGATTGTCCTAGACTCCCTAAACCCTAAACCCTAAACCGAGGTCCTAGAGATTAAAGCCCAGATGCCGTAAACTTAACCATCCTTGAAGCTGAGCCCAAAATCAAAGAAGTCCCCAGACCCAGACCCCTAAACTGCCCTAAACAGCAAAGTCCTAAACTAGACCCCCCAAGGTTTAAAGTCCCAAACCTTCAACTACTAAGTCCGCTCCTTCAGGCTCAGTCTGTGGGCCGTTATCCCACCTTCTCACATCCTAGCGGTCCAGGCGGTCCGGGGTGATTGGGTTTAGGAATCTGGGCCTTGAGAGCCCTAAACGCTAAAACCCGAGCAAGACGCGAAGCCTAGAAGACATCCGGGCCGCGGAACTCAGACTCCGAGCTCGAGTCCTGGACTCTCCCCACCTCCGAAGTTACATAACTCCGAGTAGGCAAATCTTTGCCACAAATTTAACAGGTTTCTCCCCCTAAGCCCTAAACCCGAAACCCTGAACCCTAAACCCGAAACCCTGAACCCTAAACCCGAAGCCCTAAACCCGAAACCCTAAACCCTAAGCCCTAAGCCTTAAATCCTAAACCACTCAATCCGCCAGATCGCAGGCGACAGATCCTTGAAGAGGACCCAGAGCGTGGACAGCTGGCGCGCAAAAGATCGGGCCGAGCTATGTGCAGGGCACCGGATGGACTTTGGCTTCAGGTTGAGGGGTGTAGGGTGCAGGGTTTAGGATCTAGCTTCACGCGGTGTAGGGGGTTAGGATTTGGGGCTTAAGCGGTTTGGTGTTAGTAGGGGCTCGGGGCATTTTGGGCTGTGAGGCCTTCTTGCAGTTTGCAGGGCCAAGAGCCTGGGTTTAGGTGGCTATTGAAGGCTCTTTTGATGTAGTCTGTAACCTTAGAAGCAGAAATGGACCTCTGTGAATGGAACCAGCATAGTCAGAAAGACTGAGCACAGTCAAGAAAGAGGAGTATGGATGAGACACATAGCCTTGTTCCGCACATCTTGCCCTAAACCTTAAACCGCTAAACCCGAAACCCCGAACCCTAAACCCCTAAACCCTAAGCCCGAACCTACATCAATTTCCGCAGCCTCTATCGACCTTCAGCAGCTGTGTGACCACTTTCGTCCGATTGGCAAAGCATGGCGATGCCACAGAACGAGATTCAGGAGCAGGGTTGCGGAGTTTGGCGTTCTAGAGGTTTAAGGTTCTCGTGAGAGATTGGTCAGCTTGACAAAGCAGTCATGGGTCAACCTTAAGCTAACCCTAAACCCCAAAAGCCCTAAACTCCTAAACCCTAAACCCTAAAGCCTAAACCCCAAACCCAAACCCTAAACCCTAAACCCTAAACCTTTCACCACTGAAGGGGTTGGGAGTTTAAGAGGTAGCTGTGTGGGAGCCCCGGAAGTTGATAAAACCAAGCCTTGAATGCTCTCAGCCCCAAAGCCCTGAGCCCTAAACCCTGGGGTTGAGGGTTCAGGGTTAAGCTCCGAAACCTCCAACCCTAAACTCTAAGCCCTAAACCCTAAACCCTAAAGCCAAACCCTAAACCCTAAACTCTAAACCCTAAACCCTAAAGCTAAACCCTAAACCCTAAACTCTAAACCATAAACCCGAGACCCTTAATACTAAAGCCTTACATGTTTATAGGGCCAATTTCAGCCGCCAGTGAAAGGAGCTGATTGCCCCGGAAGAGGGCTTCAGCAGTGAGGAGGCCCTTGGAACGTAGGCTTCAGGGCTTTTGGGTTTTAGGGTTTAAGGGTTTTGGGGGTTTAGGGTTTAGTGTTTAGGGTTTAGGGGTTTAGGGTTTAGGGGTTTAGGGTTTAGGGTTTTGGGTTTTGGGGTTAAGGGGGTTTGAGGGTTGCGGGAATTACGGATTTCAGGGTGCAAAGGCTTGGGAAGTTAGAGCCTTCAACGATTTTCAGGTCTTAGGTTTTTAGGGCCTAGGCCTTCAGGGTTTAAAGGTTCAAGGGTTCAGGCGTGTGGGTTGGCCGCAAGTTCGGGCCTTCCGGGTGTTGCGATTCTTTGAACTTTTTAAAGGAGGTTTGTGATGTGGGTATCAGTGTAGATTTCAGAGGTTTAGGGCCTAGGCGTTTGGATATAGCCGCTGCCTGTTGCATGGAGGAGCTGGGCTTATGTGTCTGCGTTTTAAGAAGTTTTTTTTTCATGCTTAGCTCTACATCCATGTTGTTGCATACACCTGCCCGAACTAGCCTGACACAGGATTGCGCTTGGAACAAGGGTGGCGCCGACAATCCCATTCCCTAAACCCTATTTGCACTCGAGCAGGCACAGACAACGAACGTACAGACCCTTGCGAGCACCCGAATAACGACTTAAAGCATATGCATATATGCATATATACATATATACATATATACATACATACATATATATACATACATACATATATGCATATATACATATATACGTAAACACATATACACGTAAATACATATATACATATGTGCATATATATATAGTATATATATATACATTATATACATGTGTGTTACACATATAAATATATACACATGTATTTTCAACATGTATATGTATATGTATATGTATATGTACATGTAGACATGCATAACCTTCACAAACCCCGCTAAACACCTTACTAGGCGGTCACAGAAAGCTGTTGAACCCTGGAAGCCACAGCAACTCGAGCTGGGTAGTTCTCCAAAATTCGGGCCCCGCTTAGACTCCCAAACAGTACGGCACCTTAGTAAAGAAGACCCTGAAAGGAAAAGAACCCTTGCAGAGAACTACCCAGCTGCAGGTCGCTCAGGCTCAAACTCCACGCCGATGCGTGGTGCCTTGGAAGGTGAGGATCAGTTCAGGGTTTGGGATTTGGAGTTGAGGGTTCGGGATCTTTGGAGAAGGGGGGTTTCATGGTTTAGGAATTCGGGGCTCTCCAGGTTTTTGGGATGCGGGATCTTTTGCCAGGGATTTAGGATTCGTTGTTTCGCGACCTCGGGGCTTGGCTTCGGGGGTCAAGGTTTGGCTTGATACTCATCCTGACAGACTCTCCTTTCCCACTGACCGCTTACCCATGAGAGCTGCACAAACGTCCGTCAATCTTGACTTTGGAATGATTGTCTTTAAGCCGAAGCCCTCATCAGCTTGCCTTGACCAGGAGGTGCAAAAACCATGTATGAGTACATCTCTCTCTCTCTCTATATATAAAAACATATGTATATATATATATACA